TACATCTTTATCTTCGTCATCCAAAGAATCACAATTGAGCCTATGCATATTTCGACGATTAGATTTATGCCTATACTTGCCTCGGCTTTCTTGAGCCAAAGATCTTTTGCAAACCTGATTTACAATAGCAAAATCATGGCCATCTAATTTTTCTTTGAGGTGAGACCGCAGGACATTAAAAGCAAATTTAGCAAGATCCTTTTCATAAATATTAAGACTGTAACATCAGTTTTTGGCCTCTCTGAACCTTCTAATGAATTCAGCAATAGACTCAGCATGTCACTGTTTAACTAGTGTTAAATTGGAATAATCTCAACTCATTATCACCACTATAAAAGTGCTCATGAAACTTTTGCTCAAGCTGAGACCATGTATGCATTGAATTGAATTAGGAGTTAAAGTCGTAAACCAAGAGAAAGCAGTGCCAGTTCAAGACAGAGAAAACATCCTAACTTTTTAAGAATCAATGCCACTATAGCGCCTGTTTGGTAGCGCTCCATCTGATTCTGATTCTCTATGGAAACTGATTCTCTAAGAGAAGTGATTCCGTGGCTGAAAGTGATTCTCTTTGATTCTTTAGCATAAACTCTTGAAATCATGATGGAGAATCACTTCACAGAATCAGGAGAAGCTACCTTTTTCAGCTCTCAGCCTCCTATTTCATTTCAGAGAATCACTTCACGGAATCAGTAGAGAATCACTTCTCTCTGAAAAACTGTTTGACAGAGCTCCTGCTAGATTCAGCAGAGAATCAACTCTGGGAGCACCGCAGGGCCATAGAAGCCTAATCGTGCAATACACTGGCTAATATGCTCCCATGTAGTCATGTTGTCCTCCGCAAAGAAGTTAATGAATTCAGGCACTTTAAAATCCTTGGGGTACACATGTATATTATCAAAGTATTTGGGATACAACTTGGTATATGATCTAATCCCAATTTTATGCTCAATTCCCACCTCTTTTGCTATTTTAACCTATTGGTCTTGCCAACCACTCAAAATATTCTATTTGACCATGGCGCGTCCCAAACAGTTGACATAATTGGTTGTGAAGGTGGTGCGCAAAAGATGAGAGATTTGGGCCAATCTATCCAAACACTGAATTCGGCTTGGTTGGTTGCATGGGTTGTTCACTGTATGCACATAACACTATGAGAAGACACATTATATTTAATTTTTGGTTTAAGTCATTGACTTGACTCAGGTGTTCGCATTTTCTTGGATTTTATTTCAGAAATAGTGCTATTTCTTTAAGCGGTGGCAAAATGCCTATCAATAAAAAAAAACTCGACCCGCGGGGTAAGACAGCCCCAGGCATTGTGCTTAAGAAGAAGATCTTCTCACGCAGGTCGAGAAAACCTGTGAGCCTCTGCCCCACACATACACAGCGGCACCGCAGCTCCTGGGAGACTGGGCTGGCCTTAGACCTGTGCTTTGGCGTGGGATAAACGAGGAGATTTTTTTCAACGCGCTGCGCCTCCTCCGGCCAACAAATCCGCCCCAAGGAGGTTCGAACTCTGGCCGGCAGAGTGCAAAGCGCACAACTAAACCAAGTGGTCTAGCGTTCACTTCGCATGCCTATCAATAAAGAGACGTCTCTAATGACTTTGTGAATTTCGAGATTTGTCGCCCCATTGTTTTGTATAATTTTCACTCAGTAAACCCTATATATATGCTCTCACTAGAGAGAAATGGTTGCGTTGTTACACTTGTTTAGCGTGTGATGATCATTTGATAATATTTTTTTCTTGAAATTAGTAGCATCTTTTGTATACGCCAATGGTGTGCTGTAGACAAATATTATGAATGAAGTGATTCATATCGAAGAACCGCCTTAGACTATAACTTTCATGTTCATAGGGTTCGCGGATTGAAATACAAGTTGCTTCTCGTTTCGGCAATATAATATCTGTTGACATTGTTTTCTTGATATATTGTCGTGGAAATTACTAAAAAAGATGAGGCCTTGAAGTCCCTTTAAGCTCCTGCTGCTATTACTAAAAAAGGATATGGGTGAAGAACAACAGTTTTGTATGTAGTAACTAAACTACACTATAATCAATTATGTAACTTCAGATAAAAATTCAGTTAGAACCTTATTTCAGTAGAATAAGAAAATTATAATGCCCACAAAAATGTTTGGTGAAATAAACGATTAGTTTTGCGTAGAAAATTGATTTAGTTTAAATGGGTGGCTATCGTGTACACCTGCTGTATTGACAAAGATACGGGGTGTACCACATGTCAGCCCCAAGCCATGCTGAGTTACAACACACATGAGCTAGGGCTCGGCTGGCCAGGCCACAACATGGGTGTTATGGTGTTAGTGAAGATTTTATAGCTTGAAAATATAATTAGCGCCATGTTGGAGGAGGGTCAAGTCTACCTCTGTTAGGCCCCGCGTCTAGGACTCTTGCCGTGGGTCTTCCAAGGCTGACTGGTGAAAGCGAGAAAAGAGGATTGGGAGCGAGGAACGATGGATGGGACGAGGAGACAAACCAAATAAATTATTGTACTTTAATATGCGATATAAACTAGTAAACATGCTTATGTGTTCCAATAGAGGTTATAGCCTCTTGCGAAGTCGCATATGACAATTTGAGGCTTGAAGATTTGTTCAACAATCGTGCCATCTTTTATAAATACGTCTTGAAATCATACTCCGTAGGGTTGCTTGATGTATATTATTCTGACTGGTATGAGCATAGGTGGTTAGTCCAAACTATATATCACTACCGGACTCCTGTAGTTTGCCGAGTGTCCGAAACACTCGGCAAAATACATAAAACACTCGACAAATGGTTCGTCGAGTGTAACACTCGGCGAACAGCACTCGCCAAAAACAGTGACGGCAAAGCCAACTTTGCCGAGTGTCTTTTATCGGGCACTCGGCAAAGCCTTTGCCGAGTGCCCGTTGAAACCGAAAAAAACCCGAAAAAATGGGATTTTTACCCCAAAAAAAATGAAATTTTTTTTATCGATGGAGGCCCCCACCGGCCAGCACCCACTCATCTCCGATATTTTTCGCGTGAATTTCATGGCTACGTGGCCGACGCGATTCCATTTTTTTTATCGATGGAGGCCCCCACCGGCCAGCACCCACCCATCTCCGATATTTTTCGCGTGAATTTCATGGCTACGTCGTCGATTGAACCGAGACTGCACGCACCTCCTCATCACTACACCACACTCTCACTTGTGTCTGGATTCCGTTTTAGTTCCCAATATATTATACTAAACCGAGTGTAAATTGCATGTTTGAGGCCCTAAACGAATTCAAATAAAAAAGTTGTAAATTACAAAGTTTCATAACTTTTCGAGATCTACACTTTTAGTTTAGGAAGTTTTTCCATCCGAGGTCGTTTATAATATTTGAATTTTAAAATTTTGAAATTCAAACACAGTTTTGCATGACAAGATGTTTTCAAATCAAAAAGTTGTAAACTACAAAGTTTCTTAACTTTTCGAGATCTACACTTTTAGTTTAGGAAGTTTTTCCATCCGAGGTCGTTTACAAAATTTGAATTTTAAAATTTTGAAATTCAAACACAGTTTTGCATGACAAAATGTTTTCAAATCAAAAAGTTGTCAACTACAATGTTTCATAACTTTTTGAGATCTACACTTTTAGTTTAGGAAGTTTTTCCATCCGAGGTCGTTTACAAAATTTGAATTTTAAAATTTTGAAATTCAAACACAGTTTTGCATGACAAAATGTTTTCAAATCAAAAAGTTGCCAATTACAAAGTTTCATAACTTTTCGAGATCTACAAAGTTTATTTTGGTTGTTTGGTCATCTATTCATCCGACATGGTCGTTCTAACATTGTTCACAAATCTTATATATCTCTATTGTAGTTTCATAAACTACCAGAGAGATATGTTAGATTTGTGAACAAATTTATTTTCACTTTGTCGTATGAAGAAAAGACCAAAACAAACATTGTACATCTTGATGAGTTATACAACTTTGTAGTTGAAAACTTTTTGATTTGAATTAATTTACTGCTTCAAAATGTGCTTTGAAATTTTCTTTTGCCGAAAAAAAATAACAAAAAAATAACACTTTCGGCAAATATGCTCTTTGCCGAGTGTCAAAAAAAAAAAAAACTTTCGAGCAAAGAACTCGCAAAAGACGTCTTTGCCGAGTGTAAAAAAAAAAAAACACTTTCGGCCGAAAACCACACACACGGCAAACCACGTGGCACTCGGCAAAGAGCCGGTCTCCGGTAGTGTATGAGACAATAATGAGAGGACTTTTAATGAGGATATTGTGGGTAGTAAAAGAAAAGGAAATAGACAAAGCAGTTGAAAGAAGGCAATATTAATAAGTATATATAAAGATGGATAATATGTGCATAGTACAACAATTATGAAGCTGGGAATAATCCCAGTTCCGTAAACACAAGTCATCATCAACAAGAGGTGATCTGTTAGAGAATATAGAAGTGCCTTAGTTGTCACGGCAGCTACTTTTTTCCGGACAATTGGGGTAACCTTTAGACTATGCACTAACAAAATACAAGCTCACAAAGCTGAGAGGGTAACTTTTTTATGTGGCTTATTGTCAATATGACACATGAAACAGCTGTACTATGAAGAAGAGGTGATCTGTTATACTAGAATATAAGTGCCTTAGTTGTCACTGCAGCTAGTTTTTCCGGACAAACGGGGGTAACATTCGAACTAGTATGCACTAACAAAAAATACAAAGTGGCTTATATATTGTCAATAAGACACATAAAAAGTTACAATTGATTGGGAAACGCTACTTGAAGCTTTAAACAGATGAGACACACACCGGTGGGGACGTACATTCACAACTGTGTGGCCATCATCACACCCTGAGATGGCCTAGGATCTGTATTAAAAACGCAATCGTCTTTAGATGCTGTCCCAAACAACATTGTCCAATATAAATACGTTGTGCCATCGACCTTGACAGGGAGAAACAACCACACCACAAGTCCACAACCAGCAGTAAACTAGCTAATAAGGCATAATGGAGCATGCATCAGCTGCCGGCATGACAACCGTGGTTGTGCCTGAAGAACGCCGGCTGCCAGAAGCAGGGCTGAATGGCATGATACTGCGGTGGGCGTTCATGGACAAGGCCATGATCAGTTTCGGGGCCCTGCAGATGGCTTGGGCCACCACCGTTGTGCTTGGTGGATTCTCCACCCTGATAAAGCAGAAGGATTTTTGGTTCGTCGCAATCATCTCCTTCCGTGAAGCCACGAGGTTAGGGATATGCAAAATTAGTTAACCTTGTATCATCACAGTTATATATTTTTATTAAGTTAACTTGATCCATATATAAACCTGTGCTGTGCACAAGCATACAATAATTTTAGAAAATGACTAAGTGTTCAAAATTCGTGTGGAAAGACCATTAGCTATGTGAAAACATTTAATATTGGGACATGGAAAAGCATATAGAAATGTGCAGACATTACTCATGAAAGTATTAGAAATCTAAACAGGACTACATTTTGGCTTTTCATAGATGGTCATAAATGCTTTCCACCCCTGAGAGATGGTCAGAGTTAATCTTACGTATAGTTATCAAAGGCGCGGTCCTCATGTTTGCCGGTGGAAATAATGTTTTCTAAGACCGACGTCTGCCTTTGAAAATTAATTTATTTTTTTAAAGATCCAATTGCAGCTCCTGCTTCTGCCACAACCATCGCTGCTCCTCCACGCCACCAAACAGAGGCCGGATCTAGTGCCACCCTTGCCCGGATTGAGGTCAAACGGCTCCCCACCGGCCGGCGGCCGCCCTTGGCCGGATTGAGGCTAGGTGGTCCTCCTCTATGCCATCATTATGGACACACCATCATCATCATCCCGGTCCACATCATCCACGCTGCTATTAAAATAAATATTTATACTAATGTATATATGTTTACTTGGCCTACAGGATAGAAAATACCATTATTCTTATTTTTAACATATAACAGTTATAGAATTGTACATTTTAGAAATTTATATACCATACTTTATGTATATTGGATAATTTTTCATGATAACTTATAATACTATTAACATGTACGTTCAAGACATATTTATGTTCTTTTTATGATGGGTGTGGTGGATAATTTAGATATGAATTAAAATGTGTTACGTTTATAATAAATGTTATCTTATATTTTCTTTCATACCGGCATATATTGGTCAATTTGAATGCAAATGTAAGGGTTACTTCACATTATCTATCATAAGGGTAAAATGGCGTGGCTTTTTATTTTTCTTGTTTTAATAAATACTACTACAGTCGTTGTGTTTATCCTGCTATAATTTCTAATCTAAATCTAAAAAGACAGTAAGTCATCGTCTATCCGGTGATACCAAATCTTGATCCCTACTATGTGTCCATATTCGATAGAAATCATTCTCCACTCGGACCTCATGCGTCCGCATCCTATCTGGTTTCGATATGAAGATCAGATCCATGTGACCGCGTTCGATATAATGTCCTCGGAGGTCAAAGCTCACACGTTTGATTACCGAGGGATAAAAAATAGGAAAAATGGTGTTCTTGCCCCTTACACATATATGCAATTGTGATTTTACCCTCGTTTTTCTAACTTTGTGATTTTGCCCTTAACTGTTCACAAGTCAACGCGATTTTGCCCTAGTCAACGCTAATTTGCCCCTGTTTTTACCATTGACTAGGGGCAAAATCGCGTTGACTCGTGAACAGTTAAGGGTAAAATCACAAAGTTAGAAAAATGAGGGCAAAATCACAATTACACATCAAAGTAGGGGCAAGAACACAAGAGCCCCTAAAAAATACCATAGCCCGATGCAACGCAAAAACATATATCTAGTAATGTAATAAAGTCCCATATACAAAACTGACATGGTTACATTCCAAACTCTTTCCAAATGCAAATGGCAGGCTCTACGGCAGTGCTGTGGATCCAGAGGAGTTCATCATCAACGCACCGGAGGTTGTGGCAGCAAAGACCGAGGAAATTGAGGCCAAGGAGCAAGGTAGCTGGCAAAGGCATCATCGAACCAACCGGCCGGACCAAGGACCGAACCAAACTGCTGCTCCCCCACCACCAAGACGAGGAGGCCTGCTGGGATGGTCGTCGTCCCTAACCTCCGGGCGGCGGCGCTTCTGCACCTGCAGCCTCTTCTTCACCAAGACCCTCACCACGGTGTTCAAGTTCGCGCAGTTCGCCGTGGGCATCACCTCCGTCGTCCTGGCCGTGCTGCGTCTGAGCCGGCAGGACTATGTGGACGCGGCGGACCAGAGCAGCAGCGACCACAAGAGCATCAAGGGGTCCCTGAACCTCTTCTACGGCCTGGTGCTGGCGCAGGGCGTCTCCTCCTTCCTCGCCGACACCATGATCCCCATCGACGTCCGGCGGGTCATGAAGCTCCGCATGACGTACCAGCTTGGCCAGTCAGGGGTGCTCATCATCAAGCGCTACATGCTCGACACCTACATGAAATGTTCCGGTGGAAGAGTGCGTGAAGCAATGGACATGGACCTGGTCAGCTTCGCCATGGAGATGGCGAGGTCCACCTCGTCGGCGTCCGGGTTCTTGATCGCGTCCTCAGCATGGAGAAGTACAGTGGGCTGGCGCTGATGAGGCTCCGAGCTTCCATTGACACTGTGGGAAGCGTGGTCAGTATGCTTGGACTGAAGAACAAGACCAGGGAGGAAGAGAACACCAGAGGGCACGCGGCGAACGTGGTGCTGGAGCTCTCTCCAGACCTCCAAGTGGAGAGCTTCCCAGCAGTGCTGCAGATGGTGTCTTCACTGCTTACTGCGAAGACAACGGCAGCATCGACAACGAGCAATGTCAGCGTCGAGCTTACATGGCTCGGTGTGAAAATCGTCAGAAAGATCATGGACAATCCGGACAACTGTAAGGAAGTAGTGAAGGATGCCGATGACCAGGTGATATCAAGCATTGTGGACCTTACAGCTGTTAGTGATTACAACAGCAGCTCAATCTCGTGGTCTCCAGTAACAGAGGAGATCATCGTGGAGGCAGTTCAAGTCCTGCACAGGCTGGTCCGAACTACCGGCGATGCCGGTAAGGTGCTTAGGTGCAAAATCTCTGAGAACCTCCATGTTCTCAGGAACATTAGAAAGATCCTGGAACATCCAAGGAGCCATACTGAGCTACGCACTGAAGCAATTGGAGTTCTTGCCTGCTTAGCTTTGGATGAGACAGGAAAGAAAGAGATTGGGGGTTCAGCTCGGATCATTAGGAAGCTTGTTCCATCCCTTGTTGTTGAAACTCCATCCCCATCCAACAGAGTCAAGCTAGCTAAGTCTGCTGTTGAAGCATTACTTGTTCTTGCCGTGGACAGCCAAAGGAATGCCTTGAGGATCCTTGAAGAACTGAAGATTGAAGACATGCAGCAACTTGTTGATATGCTTTCTTCTGACTCCACAGAGCTCAGAACTATGGCTGCAAAACTCTTGGCGGTTCTACGTGTCAATTCTATAACAGAACATGTTCAATATAACAGGACAGTCGACAACGCACTACCTCTGGTAAATTCATATGCGCACCTTTGTTTATGTTTTTTGGGTGTAGTATTTGTTATTGCAGATTACTTAGCTTGTTTCCTTTCAACCAAATTCCACGAAAGAATTAACAACACACACACACACACACACACACACACACACACACACACACACACACACACACACACACACACACACACACACACACACACACACACACACACACACACACACACACACACACACACACACACACACACTGCTATAAGTTCTATGTTTTAATCTTTCTTATATATATATACCGTTTGAAATATTTAAGACCATCACACATATAGTTGTACTCTTACAGTTTCTCATCACACATACAGCTGCTGAAAGCAATCAAGCTAGAGGTGGAGAAACTATATGCCCTGGTACCTGCTGCTGGAGAACTTCATGCCCATGATGCTGTATGAAATCTAGCCTTCTCATCACACTGCACCTCTCTGCAAATACATTTATTTAGATTATGTATCATTTGCTCACGCTGATTCAGAGCGAACTTCCTTGGGCCCGATGGGCTCCCTCCAACCCTAGGAGCCCCTGGCTCCCTCCCCACCGCCGCCACTGCCACCGCACCGGCGCCGGCGCCCTCCTCCTCCCCCCCTCCCCTCACCTCCCTGCACCTGCCCCCCCTCCTCCCCTCGCCCGCGCGGGACCGATCGAGAGCGCCGCTCGGCCACCGTCGCCACCCGAGTCGGGCCTCTCCTCCGGCGTTCCCCGGCCGCCACGGGTGGGCGCCGCCACCGCGGCATCTTCCTCCACCGGCGCGCCACCGCCGGGGCCAGCCACAGCTGCGTGTGGGAGTTAGATCTGGCCTCTCCTAGCCGCCGCCGCCTGCATCGGGCCACTCGCCCCGGCAGCGGGGCCAGACGCCGCGCCCACCTCCTCTGAGTGCGCCACTGCCCAGCCACCGTTAGGAACAGCAGCGGCCGCAGCGAGGCTGTGCATGGGGGCTGCTAGATCCGGCCCCTCCACACCGCCACCGTCGCCGGGCGGCGACCTACCGGCCGTGACGGGCCAGGGAGGTGTGGTCATCTCCGAGGACGTCGTCCCGTCAGCCACAGCCCGCCTCGCCACCGCCAGCCACCCCTAGCTCCTCCCTTTCATCGGACGTGGCTCCTTTCTACCCAGTCTTGGGTGGGCGCACCAAGCGCCGCATGTGGCCGAAAGACAATGATGACGAGTCCAACGACGACCACCCCACAACCTACCTGGACACCACTCGGCGCCCGATGAAGGCGGTCACTGCGCCCACCACAAGCGCCCAGGTCGGAGGCGGAGGAAGCGCAGCCGGCCGCGGCCACAACTGTTGTGCAGCATGCGTACTCGGCTAGTGGATGGCCGCATCCCCACCCGCCGTGGATGGGTCAACGCCCCCAACGCCGATGGGTGGCGTGAGATCCTCCCCTGACAGGGGATGGGACCTGCGGCCGCCTCGACTGAGCCTTGCCGCGGCCCAAAGCAGCTTCCGCATGCCCGGAAGATCCCCATATAGCTTCATGGCAGATGCTTTAACTGCCTCTCCTACTCGCACCGAGTAGCGACTTGTCGATTGCCTCGGCGTTGCCTGTGCTGTCATGGCTTCCGCCACCTCGTTAGGGACTGCAAGCGGCCCAGGCCCGCTTGTGGCGGCAACACGGCCTCCCAGCACGCGCCCCACGGTCCATTGGCCTCCTAGCATGCACCACACGATGCTCCACGAAGTTCGGATGGGGCCGCGCAAGGTGTCGCGGGAGGCGCCGACGGAGTTCGATGACGACGTTGGCGACGCTAGAGTGAGCTGGCAAAGGAGAGCAATGTGGGCGTGTCTATCAACCACGACGACAGCGCCTCAACCTCTGCTGCTGCACATTGCTTCCCCGAGCCTGATCTGCTGGTGTTGGAGCTGTGGGTGAGCGTGAGGCCTCCCGCGTGGGTCGACCCAATGCTGGAGGAGTTCACCGCCTCGCACGTCGTGTGCCGTCCTGCTAGACCGGGGTGCCTGCCTGCTAAGACAGTCGCTTCTAAGGAAGATGAAGCATCATTGGTGGACAAGCATTAGCCGACGCGGCCACCCCTCCCCGTCCAGTTGAAAGTGGGAGCTCCGCCACCAAGAGGCTCAAGCGCTTCACCAACAAGATCCTGCGTAAGGCGCCATCGCTGCTGCTCCCTCAGCCGGTGGTGGAGGCACAACCGAAGCAACCGAAGTTGCCGATCCACAGCAGGAGGATCGTCGCCTAGGCACTTTCACACGTCCCGGCTTCTAAGCGAGGAGAGGTGCTGGTGATGAAGCGGATGGAGATGCTCGACAGACAGACGACCACGGTAGCCAAGAACGTCTACAACAGTATCTTCGTCGACCAGCTCAACCCCTCGCATGCTGAGTCAATGCGAGAGCTCTTCCCTGATCCAAAAGAAGAGCGGGGGAGGCGCGGCGCAAGCAAGCACATGATCTCCTTCTGTTACGGAGGGCAGAACTGATTGTATAACACTATCTCCTAGTGTGCCATGTCTGTGGCGCGTCGTTGTAGCTTTCACTATTTTCTCAACCTTAATACAAAAGATGCGCAAATCTTTTGCGTATTCTTTTGTGTATTTGAGAAAAAAAATATTATGTTTCATTTTATATATAGCTGCACCTTAACTAATTGCATGGCTTGGAAAGGAACTCATCCAAATTATATGTATTATTTGTACACAGAATTTGGAGGAATGGAGGACCAAGCAGGGTGCACTACTGGAGAGCTTTGTTGGCCTCAGCGTTCGGGTCTGCACATTCATTCAGGCAAGCGAGTTCGGCGATGCGCTCCGGAATGCCAACCTCACAGTGGATTTGCTCATGCATGCGCTCAGCAGGATCCTTGATATGTACATGTCACCAGACACAGAGTACCCAGGTATAAGGCGGGTAACAGTTGAGCTAATCATTTGGATGCTACGGAGCAACAGACGCTGCATTGAGTTTTTCTTTCGGCACCAAGTGGACAAGGCAGTGAAAGAAGTCGCAGAAACAGAAGAAAGACTTGAAATGTTTAACATGTTCTGCTGCGGCGTTGGCGTCGCTAAGCACAGAGAGCCCATTTCTTCTCTCGTTGCTTCTGCAGCCTCTGCTCTGCCTCGCATTGCTAGAAGGCTCCCAGGCGAGGTGTCGGCAGAGAACACAATACCAATTGCTTAATTTGCAGGCATATGAATGATCCCTTGCTATGTACCGCGTGATTTGCTTAACTACATTTTATTGTTCATGACATTCTGTGTTACAACTTTTTGTGTGTTAAACTTTGTAATAAGTTTGGTCTGATTCCTCTAGGTGACGGGATGAAGCCGGAAGTTTAATTCCATTATCGAAATATATATATATATATATATATATATATATATATATATATATATATATATATATATATATATATATATATATATATATACACACACACACACACACACATTTGGGTTATCTGAATTCGATCAATAACTGGCCGCCAACCATGCATTTTCACCACTAGAAATATGTGAACCATTTTTGTTTCCTGCATTTTATCCAACTTTTTAGTATTCCTGTTAACTCGATCATCAGGGCCGGGTAACATTTGGTACGGTATGATTCGTATCAAGGCTTTGAAAATGCTATATGTATTCAGTATGTCTTCGTTTTGTTAGCTTTTGTATTCATCATATATAGGTAACGACATATTAATTTCATATTTTATTTGAAGGCCCCAAAACTATTGGATCAGTGGATATGCAACTCAAGTATTTTGAGGGACTTGGAACCAGAAGTGTTCTGAGAATTTCTATGTAGAAATCGCAGCCATAACACATTTGTGATAGTCCTATGTAAAGATGGCAACGCCCCCGATACCCGACGGGTATTTGTTCCATTAGGAGACGGGGATGGGATCATATCTTTATCCGCAGGCATCTAAATGGGCAAGAATCCATCTCCGACGGGTATAGCGGGTATGGGAACGTTCTCTGTTTACCCGTCCCCGTTACCCGTTGGGGAACCCGACTATTTGAGCTGTCATGCGAGTATTAGGCACAAAGAAGCTCAACATAGGTATTTTGACCAAAATCTGAACAATCATATATATAGGTTGTGTGTTCTAGGAACCCTAATTCAATTTTTCCTCACCATCTCCCGCCAACACAGACAAGCTTTTTGCCTCACGGCGCTTCGTGCCACAAGCTTCCTTAGTTTGGTCTCTCTGCCACCTTTGCTCGTCCTCCTCGCAACCTCGCTCCTTCTCCTCGACATCTTCGAGACTCCGACACTTATACCCGGGTGAAGAAGAAACGTCTCCGATTGCAAAGCTGCGACCCCAAGTGTCCTTGTTTATCGGGTATGCAGTACCCGTTGGGTATCTATTACCCGACCGATGCCCGACGGGTATGGGGATGGGCAAGAATCTATACCCGAGACAGTTAATGGGGATGTCCCTACAAGCGGTGCCCCGCCGCCGCTTTTTATAGACCAAGGGAGAGGAATAGGATACCGAGACCGAGAGAAGGGAAGGCGAAAAAAAGAAAGAGAAATAAGACTCCTGGGGGTGTGCCGTCCTCCTCTTCGTGTGGGTCCCACTGACCCTATAGATTGTGGTGGCAGCGGCGTCGCAGCAGGGTCTTGTTGGCCGCTGCAGCATACGTGCGGGCATCATGTGCCGGTCTTGTCTTTCATCCCATCCGAGCGGACGGAATGGTCAAAGGGTCCCCTGACAAAGGCCATACGGGGGGCTAGCGGTACAGTGCCAGTCAACTGACGCCGGTCGACTGACGTTGGATGATGGTTAGGGAGTTGGCAGCACAGTGCTGGCCTGTTGACGCGGTGGGCGACATGAGTCTCCCAGCATGGCCTGATGCGACCGCCAGTCGCATCAGGATGCGCCCGAGACATGCTCCCGGCCGTGCGCCTCCATGCCGTAGTGGTTGAAGCAGTTCAGGTCCCACCCTGGGGCCACTGCTTTTGTCCGGTAGCAAATCCGACCCCCAGGGAATGGGCGAGGTAGAAATCTCGCCCTGGGGGTCGGGCAGGACGAAATCTGTCCCTTGGGGGTCGGACGAGGCGGAGCCCTCCCCATGGGACCGGACGAGTTGGAGCCCGTGCCCTGGGGTCAGAGGAGTTGCAGCCCATGCCTTGGGGTCCGATGAGGTGGAAACCTCATCCTTGGAGTCGAACGAGGCGTGATCCAACCCCTGGGGGTCGGATGAGGCCACAGTTGCGTCCTTAACCATCGGATGAGCCGACTTGACGCTCATAAATCCTTTGGCTTGGATACCCAGGTATAGATATCCGACAGTAGCCCCCGAGCCTTTAGAGGAGTGAGACACTCCTGCAAAGGCTTTTTGCGATTTGTTGCTCCTATGGCCGTTGTGCCGTGGAGGCGGGTCGTTATTGGAACTCCGGTGTTTTTCCCTTGGTTTGTTGTACCGCATAGGGTAACCAAGTAGGATTTAGGCACCCATCCTCCATGTGGAGGATTGGCAAAGGTCGTGGAGGCGCAAAGTGACTACGGGCGCTTGACCTCTGTGGGGAGGGGCGAAGGCCATGAAGGCATGAAAGGTCTTGTTGGAGGGATATTGGCACCCAGCCCTTGAGGAAGGGACTGGTGAAGGCCGTGAAGGCGCGCCGGAGGGATATTGGCACCCAGCCCCTGAGGAAGGGACTGGCGAAGGCCGCGGAGGCCCGTAGCCTTCGTGAATCCTTCGCGGGGAAGATTTGGATAGGCATGCGCTCGTCTCTCGAGGCAGCATTGCGACTAATGCAGCGTGGAACAGTGAGGGCACGACCCCCGAAGGAAGCGGATCTGGTGAGGCATGGGGCTCGTTAATTTAGGCAGATGGTTCACCCCTCGCCCTTACCTTATAAACAGAGCCGTTTCTCCCTAGCCTCCGTACGCGTAGCCGCATCCTTGCCCCTCCAGTCTTTGTGCCTTTTGCTCTTGAGTTCCGGCCTTCACCCCCTGTTTCCGCTCCGCTGCCGGCGAAGTTCTCATTCTCTAGCCCTACGCCACCGCTGGATCTTCTGCATCGCCATCCCCGTTCCTCGATAGAGCCGTGGCTTCGCTCTGACGTTTTCCACGTACGCATGGAGGGTCTAGTTAAGAAGGGCCTTCTCCATGCAAGGGCCGCGGTGATGGAGTGGATTGTACCTAGTGGCGAGGATGAGCCGTCGCCGCCCGACGGCTATGTCGTCTCCTTCGTCCCCTTCCACGAGCGTGGGTTCACGACTCCTCCCCACCGATTCCTCCGAGGGCTACTGCACTACTACGGGCTTGAGCTGCAGCATCTGAATCCTAACAGGATTCAGCACATCTCGGCCTTCGTCACGCTGTGGGAGCGGTATCTAGGGATCGAGCCCCACTTCGAGCTGTGGAAGTACTTCTTCGCCGTCGAGCTGCAGAAGAAGAAGGAGAGGAAGAAGCCAGACCTGGCGGTGCCATTGGGATGTGCGAGCATCCGTCTTCGAGGCAACTAGTCATCAGAGTACATGTCCATCCCATTGTCGAAGTCCAACAGGGGGTGGCATAACCTTTGGTTCTACCTGAGGAACGATGACGCCGCCCCCTGCCGATCTTCACCGGCTGCCTAATCGAGGAGGCGCCGGACGCGTGGAGGTACGGGCCCATCATGAAGAGCAGAAGAGGCTCGGTGACCTTCTCAAAGTCATCATGACTCTGAAGGGCCACGGTCTTCGTGGGACTGGCATCATCGGAGCATACCACGTCAGGAGGTTGGCGCCACTAATGGTGCGCGCTCTTCTGATGTACAAGATGACGCTGGATTCTACACCCGAAGGGATGGTGATGGTCGTTGGTGAGGCCCTCAGCGTCGACAAAATAGCACAACGCATCAAGGAGGCGATGGAGTGCCCGGTGGATCTCGCCCTAGTGTACTCAGTCCTGGGGCATCCCATGATGCGGCCGGACGTGGGTTTCCTCGAACTGGTAAGCCTTCTTTGAGTTTCTATCCTTGGGCAACTCTTCTCTGTTCTTAGATTCTAAGCGCCATGATTTGCAGCCCGGCCTCTTCGCCCATGAGTCTGACCCGCCACTACCAAAGGACGTGGCCAGGAGGGCGGCGAACCACGCCGCAGCTGAGGTGGCGAAGGCGAAGAAGGAGCGAGCGAAGCTAAAGTATGGAAAACGCCAGCAAGGCTTGGAGGAGAGCGATAGCGATGAGGAGGAGGAAGAGGAGGAGGACATGTCCGACCCCAACATCCCATCGGGCACGCTTGCGCGTGAGGATGAGAGGGCCGACGCGGGGCAGGCCAACATGACCCCGATTCCACAGCACGCCCCGACGCAAACCGAAGAGGATGCGCCTCCAAGATAGGCAGGGGAGGACGCGCCCCGAGGTTAGAGGAGCAAGTCCACCCCACTCCGACTGACCCCACCAGGGGATCAAAGTGGCCAATTACCGACGTGGTGGAGTCGGAGTCGAGCGACCAGCCCCCGAAATGTTCTCGAATAATGGCTGGCCCCTCGGTTGGGGTTGGGCCCTCCCGGTCCCATGTCTGGCCGGGCGATGATCCGCTCGCGTGGGGAAGAAACCGGCTCCATTGGGCCAGGCGGTTGGACCCGAGCGACTTGGTGTTCACCCTCGATGACCTAGCGGAGGTGAAGGACTAGACGAGCGTGCGCTCGGGACTTGAGTCCGTAGTTCGCTCTCTGACCGACGCGTTGGGGTGTTGAAGGATGACGTCGCCCTGGCCGCCAGGTTTGTCGTGTCTTCACGTTTTCTACTTTCGAGCCCTATTTATATAATTCTAACCTGATTTTTTCGCAGTCCCTTGTAATGCGCAGCTAGGAGAAGTCCCTATTCCTCCATCGCGAGAGGGAGGTCTAGGGGCTTGCTGCCGAAGTGCCGCGGCTGGGAGGAGGTGGTGAGCCTCCAGACCAAGGAATGGGAAGAACATCAACACGCCGACGAGGCCGAGGACAAGCTCAAGGCTGTGGTCGCCAAGGCCGGAGAAGATGCCACGGAGCTTGGACAACTCCTCCCGGCCCTCGACCTTGCCCGTCAAGAGAGCACCGACGCTCGGTGCGCGCTAAAAAATGAGCAGAAGTTGAAGGAAGAAGCCGAGGGCCTGGCCGCCGCCTTGGCCGGGGATGTTGGCGTGCTCCAGAGGGGGAAGACGGTCCTCGAGGAGCAAGTGAAAGGTGAGGCTCTGGTTACCTT